AAATAAAATCTGCACTTTAAAAATATTCAGAAATAACTATTTTTATCCAATACAAACAGAATTTCATTCTGAAGTTTTCTCTTCTTTCTTCCATGTTACTAAAATTGTTATATATGCTCTTTTCCAAAAGTAGGTTATATTTCTTGGATAAATCATTTTAAAGCATAACTAGAGACATAGTGTACATATCTATGAATTTCACAACCATGCAGTGAAAGCTTATTTAGATTATGTATGTTAATTTTCTTTCAGAGGAGGCTTTAAATATTTGGCAAAATAGAATTCTTTCAACTAAGTTGACATACAGGATATAATTAATGTCCTGGGGTAACAGAAACATGCAAGAGCCCAAATTATATGGAATACATGAGAGTTTGCCTTATTATTTAATAGCTCTTATGCTTTACCATTGGCTTTGTTCTGCCCTAAATCATTTTTCAGAATAAGATATGGTATGTATAGTAAATAGATAAATATATATATATACCCAAACTTGATTAAAAGAACCAACTAAAATTTCATGATAACAAGGCGTGTCGTAAAGCTGCCTGAAAAAAAGTACTGCCATTCAAAGAATTCTTTACAAACATTTAAAACAGCACATTAAAAATAATTATTTAAATTTTCAAGTCATGATTTGTAATTTTGTACATCAATAAACCTTCCTAAAATATATAAATCTGTGCTGTGTACCAACTTCTTAATAGATACTGAAGGCCTGGGAGATGGGAAATAATAACATATCTTAGTGGCATAGAAGAATGAGCCCAGGATCTTTCTTAAAACAATTTTGTTGATTTTAATCTGACCATTCTCTGGTCAGCTAGTGTGGAAAATGTTATTATAAATAAGTATTTTAATTATATTTTAGATGATGAAGTTTATAAACAATGACTTTGCCAGAGAGGTACTTTTATATTAATTTAGTTTTGTGAAATTTGCCAACTATTTGGTTTTTGCTACATGGCAGAAATTCCTATTCCATTTGGACAGCTGCTTGGTGAGCCATTATACAGGTTTTTCATCAAACGCTTATTCTAATCTGAAACAAATGAAATATACCAAAGTATTGCTAGTTCTTCCAGCAGTAGAAGGATACCAGCATTGTGGCACCAGTATTATGAACTCATTATTAAATATCTGTAAAAGAAAATTTTCGAGGTAATTAACCAAAACACAAACAAATCGACTGTATAGACCATTTGCAATTGTAGTATAAAAGACAAATCACTTAGATCACTTGTCTGAGCAGACTCCACTTCGCATGAAAGGCTGTAAAGGATGAACTGTGGACCTAAAATCCCCTCGCCAGGCTCGCTAGAAGATGAGACAAGGAAGGGAGTCTTCAGAAGGCCTCAGTTAAGATGCGCCAACGAGCAGCTGCCTCCCACTACTTATGTCTGGGGAGATTAGAAAAAGGTGACCCATAAAGGGAGGTGACGCAGACCTGGTGAATATCTATATGCAGGAGGAGGAGAAAACCAACCCTCAGCAAGCATAATTAAAGATCCAGAGTTGCCTGAGCAAACCTAGGAAAGCTGGGGCAGTGGAGGTCCTTAGAAACAACATGTACCTATTGAATTTGCTAGTCCAGAGTCAGACCAGAAGTTCCAGTTTTAGCATCCACTAGATAATAATGGCGAGTAGTGCGCACCTTTCTACCATGCTAGGCTCCAAACACACCAAACTACATTCATTGCTTCCCGAGACTACTGCTTTCTCTCAGTTCACTCCAGGCAATTTGCAAATGCAGTGTCCTCCCCAAGAGCACAGCCACTCCCTCTGGCCTTCCTAATTTTATCACTAGAGCAGGTACCATCCCATTTATTGTTGTATTCTATCAATAGCCTAATGCAAGTACAGAATAAGCTGTATCAGATGGGATGCTTTTGGCTCCAAGGAACTTCTAAGCTCAACTCAAACTGGCACATCAATTAGAACGTTTATTATCTCATATACCAAGAAGTTCAGAGGTTGTGAAAGCCTGAGTCTTACCATCTCAATGATTCTCTGGGTTCTGCTTTTCTCTAAATGTTGGATGCATCTTCAAGTTGGTAGGATGGTTCCTAGCTTCATATCCAGGCAAGAAAACATCCAAATTCAGAAATAAGGGACGTCTCTTCTAGCCCTGTCTTTTTGGAGTAAGGAAACCTCTCACAGAAGCCTCCCAGCAGATGTTTCTCCTATGTCTCTATTACCACAATTGGGTTATGTGTCCATTCATTGACTAGCCACTCACAAGGAGGATGGGATTCTCCTGATTGGCTTGGAGAGTTCAGTATCTACCCCCTGGAACCAGGGATAGGCCCACCTACTTGAGTAAAAAGGAGGGGAAGTATGTACCAAAACCCAGTCCTAGATTCTGCTGGATAGGTTAAAGGAGAGAATGGATATTGAGTGGACAACCAATAATGTCCAGTACATACACCTCAACAAAATTGTTGATTGAATAAATGAATAAACAAAAAAGATGTGTCCATTTTATTTTACTACTTTATGCCTTAGTTGTTCCTAAATAGAGGGTAGTCTAAGATATTCACCAATGTAAGAATAATGCTGGTCACAAATGCAGATCATTGTTAACAAAATGTTACAATTCTAAATATTTATATTCCTATATCAATGTTGATGTTTTTCACCACAATTCACCATACTATTTTCTACTGGCATAACAGCTTCTTGGTGGTCAACCTAGAGTGGTCAACTAATCTAGATTTTAAAGGAAACTAATCATCAAAATTTACATGTGAATTTTGATGAAGTTCTATCATAGCTAGTATGCCCATTCATGGAATGTAAATCCTCAGGCAACTTAGCAACTAGTCAATTATTGATCAAAAGGAAAACTCACATTAGCTTATTGACTTATCCCATGACCACTTAAAATTTATTTTGGGTATGATGTCCTTTCAGTATTATATGGATTAAATAAGTCTATTTTTTAAAGAATAAAGTTAAGTGATGGTAATTTTGGAAATAACATAGTTAATTTATTGAACGTAAATAGCCAAGCACAAGAAGAGAATTCAGCCTCATGTCACATCCCTTCCCCACCAACCCCCCTTCAAAAACAAAAGGAAGTAAAATAGTTGACAGCATTTGCGATCTCTTCTTATGTACATGATGCATCTATAAGACAATTGCATGAAAATTCAATGACTAATAGAGGTGGGATGGAGTCCACTACCAGAAAGCCAAAAAAATTACAAAATCTCTAATTATACATCTCCCTTTAGACATATTGTGACCATTTGTACATGTTCTTTCCTTCAAAATCCAACTCCACTGAACACCACAAGGAGCTCACATGAAAAACAAGGATGCGTCACTTTTGCCATGCTTGATGATTTCCATCTTTTTCTAATCAGAAGTGGCACACTGTGACCCAGGATAATTTCTGGCAGAGTGTTTAAAAGAGTTGTGAACTTGTATGCCCTTAAGTGGTGCATGCACTTTCCATTTCAGTTGTTAGCTGACTGGGGCCTTGAAGGTTTTCGTGTTTGTTCTCCAAGAAATTATTTCAAGTTTATAAGACTCATGCTTACACTTAATACTAGAAGCACTTTCATTTTCCACTTAGTTAAACAACAACAAAAACCCCCCTGAAAATGCAATGTAACATTGAAATACTTTCATAAACATGGCTGCTTAAAGATTCAATGCTGTGAATGTGGACTACTGCTTGACGAGAAGACTACTGCTGAAAATTCAAATTTATTTTTGAATCAGCTAGTGCTTGAAAGTCTAAATTCAAAATATTAGGATTGGATTATCAGTTTATAATGGACAAAATACAAGCTGTTGGAAAGGGAAATTTTTGAAAATTGAGAATAATTTACTGACTACTGAACTGTAATGACTGTTTGGGTTTGGATTTTAGTTCAGTCCTGCTCTTCGACCTGAAGAGAACTTGGGGCCCCAGTCAGGCCCCATTATGGGGAGCTGGTGAGAGGACAGTGCCTCCTAAACCCTAGCCTCTGAGAGAAGCTTCAAGGGCTACATTCAGTGACCTCAAGGAGTGTCCCCACAGTTGGAGACATGGTGGCTTAGTGCCTGGCACTTTCTGAGAAGCTGGATCAGTCTGGGTAGCAACTAGGAGGTAACCAAGCCCCTTGGCCTCTGATAGTGGGACGAAGGTTGTGACTTCTGGGAACTGCATGCAGGACCATTGGAACAATGGGGATCTGGGGCACTTTGCGAAGCATCCTGCCCAAGAAGGTAGTTTTCCATGGCTGGGAGACCCTCAGTTGTAAGTACCACCAGGATAAAAGGGGAGGGGAGGTCAGGAGTGGCCAGCGAAGAGGAATGAGAGTTGGAGAAACTTCACAAGGGAGCTTCTGAATAACACATTAAGAGAAAAAAGTCAACTCTGAACATCTGTTAGTACCAGAGGGTGCAAATCAAATAAAACCTTTGTTTCTCCCTCGCCTTTCCTCTACCTCCACACCTTCCCATTCCATACCAACCCTGGAGAAGGCTGGGGTGGAGGTGAGAGAGAAAGAAAACGACTAACCACACCTCCCTAGCTAATAAAGATGGCAGGTGGCCATCAGCCATTAGCTGTAGCTGGAGAAGGGAGGGGAGGTAGGGGGATGTCTCATTTATGAATCAAGATTGAAAGTTGATAAATGGATTTGCCTAGACATTCTCAGTTCTGAACTGGAACTACGACTATGACTCAAATGGACTGTAAGATTTGAGCTACATAAGAGAGCTGAGAACTATCACGAGATGGACGAAGTTTTCTTCCAGAACTCTGGGAAGGAGTAGCCTCCACTGAGCAGTTTTGACAGCACATGAAAGATAAAAGTCAAGTTGAAGTCTGATCACAGCTCACAAATTGTGCTATTCAATATACTAATTTAAATATATATGTTTCTTACCTAAATTTAAATTGGGAGCATAAATATTAACACTTTTAAAGATTAGCTCTATTAAAAACATGAAATTAAGATAGTAATTTAATTATAGAGCTACTTAAAGATAAAATATAATACTACCTTGTTATGATGTAGCCATAAGTATTTTAATTTTTTAAACCTAGAAAGATCAATGACCTCTGTCAGTTCCCTGGAAAGGAAAAAAAAAAGTGAACATTAGCAACGATTAATTCACCCGGTAAGGCGGGTTATATAGTATGACTTTGGTGTAACTGGAAAGGCCTCTCTCTTTGTCCTTTCAAAATTGTTGGCACACTTACGTGCTCATTTCCGAAATCATTAAAACTTCATTCATTTGGATTAAGACTTTTGTCAGCCCATTAAAGCAAATACTTAAAGGGGATCATTTTTTCACGTTAGTGGAAGTTTACACCTCATTATGACTGAATGTATTGGGACCTCAATTAAAAAATGATCTTACTGGGGAGAGAGTGGAGGGAAAAAAGTAAGCGCAGAACATACTGGACTTTCAAGTACTTTTGGGAAACATCATTTGCTCCTGTTTCATGTCCGCAGACTTCTGGCTTTGACATTGTCCAGACTGGATTTAAGACATGGAAATTTTGGTTCCCCAAGAGACAGAGACTGGGTAAAGGGTTTTCTTCTGCCTTTGTTGTTTATTAAATATGGGGTCAAAATATTGCCCATTCTTTTTGAACTTGCAGGACTCTAGCTGCCCAAGCAGTCCTGAGCCTTTTTATTGAAGTAGCTCACCCAACAAAGGGACAGACAAGGGGTGGGAGGAGAGCTGTCAGCAAAGAGGGTAAAGCCTCTGAGGGTAGCTGGCCCTTTGACTGCTGTGGGCTGGAATATTCAGATCTCTTTTATTTCTCAGGGCGGGAATCATGGGCTTGGAGCAGATATGTATATATCTATGCTTCCACTTATCAAACACTTACAGAACATGCACTCTGTGCCAGGCCCTTCTCTAAGCACTTTAAAAATGCTAATGTTAATGAATATTACGTATGTTAACTCATTTGTGGCAACATCCTTTCACAGTCATTTTTAACCTTGGGATACGGAGGGACTAACATTTTTCTAATTTTTATGAAAGCAAACATTTTTTAAATGATGCAAACAACATTTCTAAACAAGAGAAACGTTTCCTACCAATTTTTATATTGAAAAACTTCAAACAGAGAAGTTGAAGGACTAGTACAATGAATGCTTGCACAGCTCTCCTAATTTCTAACACTTCGCCACACTCAGGCTCATTCTCTGTCCATCTAGTACATCTATTTATGGTTGATGATTTTCTTGGTGCATCATTTGAAAATAAGTTGAAGGCATTATTGCAGTGCCTACACTCCTAAATACTTCATGTGCACATCCCTCAAATCAGGACATTCTCCTGCACAACCACAATGCCCTTATCACACCTAAGAAAATGAAATAGAATTCAATAATACCATCTAATATACTATTCATATTCGGATTGTCCCTGTTGCCCCTACATTTCTTTGATAGTTTGTTTTTTTAAATCCTGAATGCCATCAATTCCTGCCTTGCATTTTCAGTTGGTATAGCTCGTTAGTCTTCTTAAACTTAGAATAGTCACCTTCTCTCTTTTTTTTCCCTTAACACTGACTTTTGGGAGAGTCCAGGACAGTTGTCTGATGGAATGTCTTACATTCTTTTTTTTTTTTTTTGAGGAAGATTAGCTCTGAGCTAACTACTGCCAGTCCTCCTCTTTTTTGCTGAGAAAGCCTGGTCCTGAGCTAACATTCATGCCCATCCTCCTCTACTTTATATGTGGGATGCCTACCACAGCATGGCCTGCCAAGTGGTGCCATATCCGCACCCGGGATCCGAACCGGCGAACCCCGGGCCACCGAGAAGCAGAACGTGCGAACTTAACCGGTGTGCCACCAGGCCAGCCCCTGTCTCACATTCTTGATTTGTCTGACTGCTTCCTCATGATGAAATTCAAGGTAGATCATTTTTCACTTACAAAGGTCGTAATTGCTACATCACATCAGGAGGCAATGATGCCACTTGGTCCCAGTCTTAGCGAAGCTAAGTTCAGTCATTTGGTTAAGGCTGTATCTCCATTGTACAAGCACAGATTTAATCATGGAAAAGTAACATGTGGGGCAGAACTCTGAGACTACTTGTATATCTTGTTCCCCCAAAACTATTTATTCAATGGCTTTGGCTTCGATTGATGTTCCTTACCTGAATCAGTAGATTTGGGAATATAAAATGGTGATTTTCTAATGCTCTCATTCTTTTTACATTCATTAGCTGATATTCTGTAAGGAACATTTGCCCCTCCCCTTTCTTTCTCTCATTCACTCTCTTCCCCATCCTTCTTTGATTTGAAGAGTTTTTTCTTAATCCTTTTTCAATCTTTTTTTTTTCTTGAATTCTCAAATTATCCCAAACAGAAGACTTTTCAAGCAGACTACCTCATCCTTTTGACATGCACCACTAGTCTTTGAGCACGTCCCTAGCACAGCAAAATATTCCAGGCTTCTCCAAAGCAACTTCTAACAGGAGATTTGCACACATAATGCCTTCTCACGCCTCAGTGCAGACACGTAGCCTATTTCTGGGAAGAAGCATTGGACCCTGGTGCGTCTACTCTATTGCATTAGGCAATAATAATAGTAGGTTAGCTTCATCTGTTCCCATGAAACATAAAACAATCATTACATCGTAGGAGAGAAACTCAAACCCCACTTAGAAAAGTTATTTTAATACATTAATACTTGAAAATATCAACTGTGTCAAATTATTGTCATTAATTTTCTTGTACTAGTAGTATTGATGCTGAATTTTCAGCTATTCGATAATGTAACAAAGTGATTCATTTTTAAGAGGACTTTAACTCAAGTCAGGAGGGTTGATTCAGCCCATAAACCTGTCCTAAGTCAATAATGGGCTGTTACATTTAAGGTGAGGTCAGCAGAAGACAATGAGAGGAAATTCCACTACTAATGATGGCAATGACTTGTGCTGACAATAATCTGTCAACACTGTTGTCACAGTATATGTTCTCTGTGATTACTCAAGGAGACATTGATAACATGCTTTCCATTTTCCAAGTTCAACAGAGATTTAGGAAAATAACTATTTACGCAGTTTATTGGCATCTGGAGTGAAAACATTTTTTTGGTACCCAGATGGATTAAATGCTAACTTAGTATTCTTAGGATATAAAATGCATTGTCCTTTAGTTGAGAAGACCACTAATTACCCTCTGTCAGAGGATCAATATTTCTCATTTTTTCTAGAGTTTTAAAGCTTTTCTTATCGTTCTCTGCTTACCCTTATGATCAATAACATACAGTTGTTAAAATCATGAAAGGCTTAGAGATTCAATCTTTAGACCACACGAACTATTTGTTTATCATTATAGTAAAACTAATTGATCTATAGAAAGTTTCAGAACATGACCTTAAGGTGTGTCAGAATTATCTACCCCACCTGTTCCATTCTAAAATATGTATTTTCAAAAACCTTAAATTGATCAGCTATTTATTTTCTTAGTACCAAGAGATTCAGGACCATTATAAAAATAAATATTTTTCTCTGCACTAATAAACTAAAAATAAATATTTATATATAACAACAGAAATATATTTATTAATAAATGATTTCCTGAAATCACCAGAGAGAGAGTGACTAATATCATTGATAAAGTAGGACCTTTTCTTTAAAAAGTAGCTGGGTTCCAAAGATTACATATGAGTAGAAATATGTCAAGCCTATATTAAAATAATACATAGAATTCACAGAGATTAAAAAGCAAGAAGTGGGGGGAAAGAAGAGTAGGAATAGGTCATTGTTATTGAAATGTAAACTGTGGCTGCACAGGTGTCACGTGGCCAGTGAAAACTGTGGTGTCAAAGTCCAGCCCAACTCATCACTTCCTCTTACATCTGAGCTCTATCTCAGGCACCGTGAGTGCTCTGCAGCAGAAGAACCCACTTTGCTGTCTGCCACCTTGGGAAGTTGAGTGGTATTAAAGGGGGTTGCTACATGAGAGAGAGGTCCTCCTGCCTTTCAGTAAAATTAGGATAGTGGCTGTTAGCTAGTGGTTATAACACGGTAGGAGTTGTTATTATTATAGCATAGGGGTATCATGAGTCATTAGTCTCTAATAGTAATAATATTGACTGTCCTGACACTCATTGAGTGTTTACTGTATACCAGGCCCTCCCCTACCTTCTACTAACTCATCTAATCTTCACAATAACCCTGTGAAGCAGGTCATATTGTTATTGCAGGCAACAGGGTTGCCACATAAAATACAGAATATCCAGTTACATGTGAATTTCAGAGAAACAACAAATGTCCTAATGTGATATGGGACATATTTATACTAAAAAAAAAAGAAATTATATTCATTTGTTTCTCCGAATTTACATGTAACTGGACATTCTCTATTTTTATTTGCTAAACCTGAGAACCCTGACAGGGAGATTTATGACAAGCCCAAGATCACTCAACAAGAAGAGAAAGAGCTGGGATTCAAACTCAGCCTGGCTTCATAATCTTTGTTTTATCCATGTCAATATCGTGCCTCTCCAGTAGAAACTGGTGACGTCAATGAGTGCTAAAGTAATTAGAGCGTGGTACTGGCCTCTCCAGTCCTTGAGGGGGAAAACAATGGAAAAGAACATTTGAAATCTATGAAACATTGTAATATGATGCTCTTCTATTTCTTACATAGAGTACACTTACTTTTGAGAAAGGAACAGCTCAAAGACATCAGCATCCCTCTTGTGGCCACATATCTTTAGTTGATCTTCAACTGCCTGATAACATATAATTAATCTGTCAAGCCACATTCCACTGAGCAAAAATACTGAGACATTTGCAGTCAATAACAATAACGTCTACCAGAAGATCAAAAGAAAGGTGAATATGAAGGCAGCCACTCTAAACTGATAAATTCCAACACTACAATTATATATTATTTAATCATTTTTGTGGTTGAATTTCATTATCCTTAATCCTGGGCACAGATGTATAAATAATTTTTAATCAAAAAGAAAAAATGTGTATGTGTACTTATACACTAAAATCAAGTTTTCAATTCAATTACCAGAATAATTTGGTTTTTAAATGTTTTTAAATGTTCCTTTGAACACCAAGAATTCATATTTGGTAGATTTTCAATATTTACAGAAAGCACTCAGTATCCAGGTTGGAGGTAGAGGGAGCAGGATATGATGTACGTTATCATTCAGGAGCTTGGCACCTTGTAAGTTCTCAATAAATGTCAGGCAAATGAATGGAAGAGTAAGTAAATATCATTTCCCTTTCTTTGCAAAGGAACAATGTCTTCATTTTTCCTGAGTTACTATACTTGCATCATGGGAAGTTTTGGTGGAGAAGCAGCGATTTTTATTCCCATAGGCTTTGTTTTGAAAATACAAATCCAGCAACAGTTATTTAAGTGGTTTGCTTTTTCTTCTTAAAGCTCCTTTGCTAAATTACAAAATAACATTTAAGGCCACATGGCCTAAGATGATATGGAAAAAATAAAGCCCATCTATAATTTGCCATGAAAGGTAAAGCTAACAAGACACAAGGAAAGTGGAAAGTGTAATTGTTGCACTTCTGAAATCTGACAAACATTGTAATTATCAGAGTCAAAACAATCACCAAACTTGAGCTGGGATTTGTTGTGGATGGTGAGGTTGTAATGTCAGCAAGTGATTTATGAAATTTTAGCAATGGTTTTGTTGTTCAGCAGAGGACTTTAAGAAGAGTGAGATTTAATGGGATGAACAAATATCTAAAGAGAGGAAGGCAGATATGCAGGGATGGAGAGCAGCTGCTAATTTCTATCCCAAACTTCCTTCGTTACCTTGTTACACAAGCTGGATCTTGGGGTTTGGAGACTCCATTGGCTCAGGTGTGGGCATTCCATCAGGGTATTTTGTGACCCTGATAAGCTAGCTGAATCTGGGACTTGGGAAAACCCATAGATCAGACTTAGGCATCTGCATCTGGGTATTTGAACTTAAACATCTAAACTATCAGCTTCTACTACACACAGTCAGTCACAACTTTGCCAAAGTGTTTGGGAAGTGAAAGCCCAGCCAAAGTAGAATTAAAATTTTGCAGCTATCTGTTAAAATTATAAGTGTGCTTTTAACTTGATCCTGCCATTCCACATCTAGCACTCAGAAATACACCAGTACATACACAGACATACAAAATGTGAATATTATTGCTTATTTCAGCATACATTGTCTGTAGCTGTGAAATATGCCCCAATAATTGGAATATGGGTTAAATTAGGATGTAACTTCACAATAGAATACTGTGCAGTAGCTTAAAAATATGGAGAGATGGATATCTGTACATATAAAGATATCCAAAATATATTTCTAAGTAAAAATGCCATTGGCAGTATAATACATGTAAATGTAACAATATTTTTGTTACCAATGACGTATATATGCACACACTCCAAATTGTTAACTAAAGTTATCACTTGAGATCATGGGGCAGTTTCACTTTCTAAGCAATATATTTGTGCTTGTGTGTGAGGGAGATTGTCGCTGAGCTAACATTTGTGCCAATCTTCCTCTATTTTACATGGGATGCCGCCACAGCTTGTCTTGACAAGCAGTGCTATGTCCACACCTGGGATCCGAACCTGCGAACCCCAAGCGCCAAAGTGGAGCACGGGAACCTAACCAGTATGCCACCAGGCCCACTATAATACATTTTTAAATAATGTTTGAATATTATATAATATGCATACATTAATTTAGTAATCAGAAATTAGTGTACCTTTTGAAAATTTTAGCCATGAAATGAATATTTAAGAATTTAAGTCAAATTTTGAAAATTAAGAGATGAAAAGGGAAATTGAAACTATCAGCATACTATGTAAATCACTGGTGCAATTAATTATTTATTTACACAGTTTTTTTATCATTGTATGTTTCTTTCCAACCAAAAATTTCGTGTGACTCTGGTAACAAATATTAATGTCAAAGTGCCGAAGAACACAAAAACGTGCCAAGAAGTTTCAGGTTTCAGTGACTCTGTGGTGGAGGAGTTCCAGTTCCCAGTGAACACACAACTTCACTAGAAGCAGAGACCTTTCATCTAAAGAAGCACAACAACCATTCTTTCCTTGAACTGTTTTTTCTATTGTGGTAAAATATACATAATATAGAATTTACTATTTTAAGTGTACAGTTCTGTGGCATTAAGTACATTTACAATGTTGTGCGACCATCACCACCATCCATTTCCAGAATGTTTTCATCTTCCCCAAATGAAACTCTGTACCCATTAAACACTAACTTGCCATTTCCCCCCTCCCCTTTCCCTAGCAACCACCCTTCTATGTTCTGTCTTTATAATTTTGACTACTCTATATAACTCATATAAATGGAATCATACATTTGTCCTTTTGTGACTAGCTTATTTCACTTAGCATAACGTCTTCAAGAATCATCCATGTTGTAGCGTGTGTCAGAATTTCCTTCTTTTTTTACGGCGAATACTATTTCATTGTATGTATATATCACATTTGGTTTTTCCATGTATCCATTGATGGACACTTGGATAGCTTCCACCTTTTGTGTTTTGTGAATAAGGCTGCTATGAACATGGGTGTACAAATATCTGTTTGAGTCCCTGCTTTCACTTTGTTTAAGTGTATACTCAGAAGTGGAATTGCTGGATCATAAGGTAACTCTATGTTTATTTTTTGAGAAATCACCATACCATTTTCCACAGCAGCTGCACACAACAGCATTCTTTACAATGAGCATTTTTTAAACAGTGGGTCCGAACAGATCATTCAGTCACTTATTGAGCCACAAACTACTGAGTGCTTAGTTCAGGCTGTGACTAGTTTAGTCTGTGACTAGCTAGTAAATATAGCAATAAATGAGGTAAGGTGCCTGCTCTCTATGAGCAAACCTTTCAGTAGGAGAAGTAAGGGATGTATGATGCTGTAAAAGAAGGTCGCAAGCGTTCAGGGCTATGAGAAGGGAAAATATGCTTTGGTGAATTCAAAGGAAGAAGAAATTACTATCAGCCTGGGAACGCTGAGAAGATTTCAGAGCCGGATTGACAGTTGGGCTGGGCCTGAAAGGATGGGGAGAAATTAGAAACAGAATATTGACAGATGGATGGATGATTTAGTCCGAGGGGAGTGAGTACACAGAAGAGAAGGCGGGGAGAAAGCGTGGGGTGTGTAGGCTGTACAGACTGTGGCTGCAGTGAAAGACAGGTGGAAGGCAACTGTGAAAAATAAATTAAGAAAGGTGAATTGGAGCCATATTATTTGTGCCAACTCTGAAATTTAGGCTCAGAAGAGTGCACTTAATGTTCAGACAAAACTTTTATAGGCCCTGAGAACTCTAACTCAAAATTACATATTTTATGTAATCTGTAATTTAAAATTAATTTTATATGATATATACATATATATGCACATATATGTATACTAACTACATGGTAAAATCAGTGCAAGAAACTCCAACAAAGTTCTGATTTTTCTCATTACAATTACATCAGAGCTTTTAAGCCACATCCAACATCAAGTGATTTTAAAGACATTTTTCCTCCTTCTTTTTTGGTGCCCTGGCTTTGTTGGTACTGTAGGAGAATGGGCTTAATAACTATTGGGTAACTCAGCATTGGACTCAATCCTGGGGCAATAGGTATTACAGGATTTTTAAACTGCGGAAAAGATGTGGCAAAGTGAGGCGTCAGGAAGCTGACTCCAGCCACAACATGTATGATGGCCTGAGGTGCTGAGGGAACTGCAGGCAGGAAGCAAGGCTGCCTCTGGAAAATCAGAGCAAGAGCTGTTGAGCCTGCCCCAGGATCGTGGCAAGAGGGAATGAGCAGTGAACAGATGTGGCATGCAGTGTGCAGAGAGAACTGATGGGAACTGGCAAGAAACAGGAGGCTGGGGCTGGCTCCGTGGCTGAGTGGTTAAGTTCGCTCACTCCGCTCTGGCGGCCCAGGGTTCGGATCCTGGGTGCGGACATGGCACCGCTGGTCAGGCCACGTTGAGGCGGCATCCCACATCCCACAACTAGAAGGACCTGCAACGAAGATATACAACTGTGT